TTAGAGTTAGGATGCTCTATGATGACTCATCCTGTTTTCTTCCCCAGATTTATATTCTGATATCCAACTGGTACTTTTCATTGTGTATTCTAGTACTGTTAGTGTGATAGTGTGTCCCATCAAGTTACCTCTACCAAATGCAAAGTTTTATTTTTTCTGTTTTAGTTTATGTTTAATGTTAAAATGATTTCTTTATTTTCCTCTTTCCCATCACTGTGATGGTCAGATAATGATGCCAGAGCCTGGCATTGGGAAGTCTGTGATGATTAAAGCAAGTGAGAAGAACTTGTTCCAGCCTGTTTCTTCCTCTCTTCCTCATTCTAATTTGTATTTTTAACCTAGTCTCTTTGCATCCTCTGTCTCTTCACACTTTCATACTCTTCTAAAATCATACCCTTCCCTTGCAGGTGTGATGAAGCCAGCAGGGCCTATGGGGGCTGCTGCCCCCGGGGGGATGTTGTCTCAGGGCCATCCACCTCCTGGACCTCATCAGTTTGGCCAGAATGGAGCTCATGCCCAAGGTCATCCTCCTCAAAGGTGAGACAGATGCCAACTCTCATTTTTATATTTTACTAAAATTACCTCACATGTCCTTCTAAACTTGCACGTTTATTTATTGAAAATTTGACCTCTTGATACTACCCACATCCTCGAAAGCATCTACTGGAAAACTGCCCTAGGAAACCAAACATTTAAAAAAGTTAGGAGGGAAAAAATCCAATACTAGTACATATTTTAAAAAATATGAAAATTTACTTGTGTCAATACCACACATTTTAGTTTTGGGTTACATGTAGTCATCTTATTGTAGAGTTTGTGTTAATCTCCAGTTCCTTCAGATGCCTATGGCTTGTGTTCCCCAATGAAATTTTAAAACACCTGGTCTGTTGAATCCTTTGTAGGATGGAGCTCAGTGCCAGTAGGTGTGATAAATATCTTTTAAAAAATTAAATCAGATTAGGGCTAGTGGTAAAGACTGCGGATTTGATGTGGATGCCAGTGAGGGACTCTTGAAAGGAAGCTGATAGTAAAAACAACACAGGAAAGAAATCTTTTGTTTGTGTTTATAAGTTAAAGAAGGGAAAAGTTGGAGACAGGCCTGGAGAAGCCAAGGGATGAGATGTGGGAGATGCTGGGATGCCCTGCGACCCCTCAGGACCATCCCCTGGAAAGGGAGCCCGCATCACACCTGCCCTGCTGGAAAGCTGGTTACTGTTTGTCCTGCGAGGTGCTGCTGCTGAGAATCCAGTGCCAAGCTGTAGACAAGTGTTTACATTGGAATTTGTCCAAGGATTACCCAGAGACTTTGTTTCCCAGGTTGTCCGGCTGCACAGTTGGGGTGGATGGGGGTTGGAGGGAGTAACCCCTCTGAAGGACTCTGGACCCTGCTGATGGTGAGGCCATTTAGGTACCCTTCCAAGGAGCCTACAGTCCCTCATATTGGGAAAACTCCCTCTGGAATGTCTCTTATCATCAAGTTCATTCTCTTACAGGGCATTTGTGAGATTGATGTTTCCTGGCTCTTGTTTGTTGTGATAACATTTGCCATTGAAATGGTAGCTCTGAGATGCAGAGTGAAGGTTAATGCAGGGAGCAGTGGATGAGTGAGCCTGAGTAGTTTGGTTTACATGGGACTGTGGTTTGAACAGGGAGCACAAGGTCAAAAAGCCGTATTTGGGACCTGCCTCCCCGGGCCCTAGTCTCAGGAGCATGGTGGTGGGGCTCGAGGGGAGAGCAGAAAGAGTGAGCCAAGATGCTGCCACCCCTGGTTCAAGCTGTTAGCTCACAGAGTAATGTTGGTGACATTCCTGGGCCTCTCAACCTCAGTGTCCTCACTGGTAAAACGAGGAAGTAGAATTCTCAGTCCAGAGGACAGGGAGATGATCTGGAGAAGTACATTGTTGTGAATTGCCAAGCCGGTCAGATTTTTTTTTTTTGAGGAAATGCAAAAATCGAACAGCTGCTTTGAAGTTAGAAAAGATTTGGTTCACTGGTGTGAGCCTAGATTAGATTCGTCTTTTTGGCTGTTTCCATTTGTTTCGCATGAATTAGATTGTTTAGGTGTAAGTAAAGCCGAGACTTTGCCATCAGACAGATCTTAGCTGTGTGGTTGGGAGCTCAGCACAGCATCCACACGGTGCCAGGTAGAAACTCTAGGGTTGGGTCTTGTTGATACTCTTGGCTCAGTCAGTTCCTGGCTGGACGAGTTACTCTGTCTCTGTGCGCCTTGGTTCCCTCATCACAATTATAACAATAATGGTGGGGTTGTGAGGATATGATCATTAATGCATACAAGGAACCTTGCACAGCGCACAGCGTCCATGAGAGACTCAGTGTGTGTTGAGTGGAACACCATTTCCACTGGATATGGAAAGTCTACTGTCTGTAGCTTGCCCTTCGTACTAGCTCAGTGTTAGCACCCATGACAGCTCAATTTAGGAATTTGCTTTCATTGTGATTCCCAGGGAAGCACTGACAGATTTTGCCCCATCTCCTCCACTTCCTCCACTATTCATTTGCTTTAATTTGAACTGTGGATCAAAGGTTGCAAATGGGATTAAAAAATGGTAAAGGCTAGTATTCAGGCCAAGCCTTCATGGTGACCCTGCTGCCTGCCCTCATGAGACCTGTGTCTGTGTATACAGTTCGGAGCCAGGCCAAAGGGTGCAGTGACTGCAGGTGAATCACACCAGTGATGACAGGTTGTCAGAGAGCAGAGACCACATACGACCTTTCTAAGGTGATCACAGCACATCATGGAGTCCTTGTACTTAGAGGACCCAGGATAGAAATCTCTTAAAATTTTACCATTATCTAAACTGCCGAATAAAACAAGATCAATTCAGAGTCGTCACATTGATTTCAATTTTAAAATGGATAATTTTTGTTTTTAAATATTTGCGATTTCAGAGGTAATGTTTCATAAAATTTAAAAAGGCATACCGAGTCATTTGTCTTTTTGATCTTGGCTGAGGCAGAATAAATGTGGTAAACTTGTAAGTGGTACTGAAGTTATCTACAAAGGGTTACTGCTGGAAGGATTAATCTATGAAATAAAATCAATAACTGACAACTCCATTTTTTAATTATGGGGAGAAGAGCCAGTTAGTCAATTGTAATTGTTCTGTTTTGACTAAGACGTGGCAAACTGGGAGAAGCGAGGGTGGGAAGGAGGCTCATCTTCCCAAACTGAAGCTATTATGGGGTGAATCTATATTGGCTGCAACGGAAAAGGAGGAAGCAAGAAAAATAAGAGAAATACATAACTGTTTCTCTTTTTTTGTGTGTGTGGGAAGCAATGATATAATTTGGCAGAGTTTTTGTTTTTTCTGTTCTATGGGCCGAGAATTTAAAGTCTAGATTTTGTATCAATCAAATCTTGAAGAAATTGGCACCTCATCTCCACATTCTAATAAACTTCATCATCCAGCTCACTTCCTGAGTAGTTCGTTGCAAACTTGAAAATGTAAAGTGTTTGAGGTTGAACAGGCTACAGACAACTGAGTCAATTCTCCAGAGGTTTAGGGTTAAATTTAAGGCTAAATTTTCATGTTCTATTAATTCTCTGGTTGTCATTATTGACTATTATTTTTGATGGTGAAACTTCCTTCTTCTGACTCTCAATGAAATGGTAAATTAAAAGATATATTCGAATGTTTCTCAGCCCAGAAACAAGTTAAATGAAGTAATCAATGAGAGCTATTTAAATCTATATGATTTTAAATTCTAACCACATTATATTTACAATAGGGAAAGGATGGCTCCATTCCCTGTGTTCATTTTTATGACTGAAAGCTAAGAGCTCCAGGAATTACATGGCTTGCCTGCGCTCACACACTGGGTCTTCAGGCTAGGGGTCAGGGGACCTGGATTCTCACCTGAGCTCTGACACCTACATGTTGGGTGGCCTTGGATAAACTAATTTAGCAAAGTAATGAAAGTGAAAAATATTAAATCACTTTGTATGTTTAATATGTTCTGTTAATTTCTTTTTCCTTATATATGTCAGTTTAAAAATTTTTTATTAAAAATTATTTAACAAAATTTACTCTTTTAATACTATTTTATTTTTATTTTTAAGTTGATAATATTGCTTTTAAAATCCAAATCTGTTTAAGACTCAGATTGATCAGAAAAAAAGTTGTGAATTTCTGACACCTAACTCCTAGGATGTATATCAAGCAATGAATGATAAGTCAGTACTTACAGGTCAGAAAGTAATAACTAATTGTTGTACATGGTCTCATTCTATATTTTAAATCTTTAACCTTTTGTTAAGTTAAATACTTGAGGATGCTTGTCATAAGTTCTATTTGAAATGTATTTTACTCTACCTGTACTATCTCTATAAAAAATGATTCACAGATTTTCGGTTTTAAAAATATTATTGACATTTGTGAAATATCTCTGAACATGTTTTGAGGAATTTTTTCCCCAAACGATTGAATAACACTGCCCCTTCCCCCTATTAACTGCTGGTTAACCCAAACCCTAACCATACCTCACACTGCGTCCCCTAATATATTCTTATGGAGTATGCAGGGTCTGCCTGTGTGAGGTGGTTTCAGATGTCTATCTCCCATGAATAAGTTTTAAGAAAAGGACAAGAAACATCATTTCTTGAAAAAAAGAAATGATTTCTTCTTATGAAGCAGTGGCTTTACAAAAACATGTCTTTAAGAAAGTTCTTGAAATCCCTTCTAAGTGATCACAAAGACACAACCACAAAGCATTTTCGTTTTCTTGATTTCTGTCCTGTTGACCGTGAGCCCTCATATAGATAAAGCTGTGATGGGCTCAGCTTCCCAAGTTGATTTCCAAAGCTTGTTCTGAGTTTACATCTGAAATTTTGGGGGTGGGATGAGGTGGGGGGGGCGGTGGCTGTGTATCTTGACATGTTTAGCACATGAGCATATATACGGGATGATGCTACACGATTCATTCTGAGCTCACACTGAGGTTATTTAAAGATATAGCGTATACTATCAGTCATTTTCCTAGTGCCGCCTAGATTCGCTGATTTAATTTTACAAGTTATTGACATTTGTTGTATGTCATTTGCATGTGAGACCGTATGCTATCAACGCCCTTTTTCTCTCTCAGATTTCCTGGCCTTCCACCTGTCAGCAGTGCGGCCCCCTCCTATGCACCACACTCGCCCTCTACACAGTCGTCTTATCCAAGTCCGGTGTCCACTTCATCCGTCGCCCAGCTGGGCAGTCAGCTCGGCACTATGCACATCAACAGCTATGGTAACAGTTTCATTGTCGGTGCTCACTGACTGCCTTGTCTCATGAATATTTTTAGTGAGAAAGGCTTTCTTCAGTTTCAAAATAGATGTACCTCTGGCATACCATACTGAAGCAGGTTTTTGAACATTTTCATCTAAATCATATGTATTCTGTATGGCAAGCATTATTTTTTTCCAAATCATGCTGCCATATATTTCAGGATAACTGCAGGACCCTCAGAATACCTTAGACCAATAAAAAACAGAAAATACTGACTTCACAAATAAACAGTCCAGCAGTGAAATTACTTTAAGAAGTATGAGGATAGTTTTAACGCTGTGTTTATTATGAAGCCCCCAAGTCAAAAATATAATCCTCATTGTTTCACAGAGCGTTTTAATTCTGTATTTAGATCTTGGGGAGAATTGAAGCTCACATGTCATGAGGCAGAAGAGAGAATAATAGGAGAGTAAACAGTACTGAGATTTACATCAATAAAAATGCTTTATATTTAAGGAGTCATAGAAATCACCCCTGTAATAACAACATAGTCAGCCATTTATCTTGATGAAGGATGTTTCCGTTACTTAAAATTAGTTTCTTAAAAGTGTCCATAAAAACTCCTTAGAGTATTTCTTTTTTCTAATTTCAAAATGGATAAGTGTCCAAAGCAACAGCTCAATTTCACATAATCAGAGAAAGGAACAGGTAATCTGGTTTTACAACGATTTGCAGTATGATTGGATAGAGTGTTAGTGGCCCATCCTTCTCCTTGGTTATGTCTACCTAGTTCCAAAATCCTTTTGATCAAATCTGCACAAGCTGCAGATAACTTATTGAATGTATAAATGACCTGAATGAATAATGCTTGTTATGCAAAAAAAATTTTCTTCTGTATGATTTTCTACATTTTGTAGCAGATACAGTTCCTTAATTAATGCCATGTATCAATGTGAAGTGAATGCAACTGAATTAAAATTTATCTTACTAATTTTCTCACTATAATTATAAATGTTGCTTTTACATTTTTTAAATTCTCCACTTGTGTAAAATACCTCAAATAGCATTTGTGTCACTTTCTAAACGATGATTTCATCTTGTAGGGGAAAAAAAGAGTGATTTGTGAAGGTGCCTTCTTGCTTTATTAAGGAAAACAAGTGTCCCTGTTGTCTACTTGGTAGAAGTTAAAGAGCTGAGAAATGTGGCATTCAGGTGGGCTGGCTTTCTTTTTTTGCCCAGGTTCGGGCATGGCTCCCTCTGGCCAAGGTCCCCCTGGCCCTCCATCAGCACCGTCATTCCAGGGTCCTCCCCGACCTCTGCAGCCGTCCATTGTGCAGCCTGGATCTCACGTTCTCCCACCACCACCCACTGCACTCAATGGCCCTGGTGTCTCACCTTTGCCTCCGTCGGCACCCAGACAAGATGGGCTTCCTGGGCCTGCTCCTCTGAATGCCCAATACCAGCCCCCGGCTCTTCCAGGACAGACCCTGGGCCCTGGATATCCTCCGCAGCCAGGTAAGGCGGGCTGAGCTCAGAAGAATGCCTTTTGTGTTACCTTAATTGGAAATCAGCTTTGTTCCTATGTTACTAGACCACTATCACTTGCTATTTTTGAATAGTGTGGCAAGTGCAGCAAATGCAAAAAAAGGGGAACCGTAGATATTCACACTTAACTCCTTGCCTCATTTAAGATGAAAAATGCAACATGCTTGACTGAACAGCATAATAATGTCAGTGAGCGCAACATCTGGGATTTGGGGTTATAGTCATTTCTTTGTAAAATTTTTTCCGAGCAGCCAACTCTGGCCCCCAGATGGGAGGTGCGCCGCTCTCCTACCCAGGAGGCTTCCCTGGAGGTCCTGCACAGATGGCGGGTCCACCGCAGCCCCAGAAGAAGCTAGAGCCTGCCGTGGTCCCCAGCCCAGTAAGTGCTCTTCTTACTCCCACAGTCTCCCTCACAAAGGACCATTCTTCATTCATTGTTCTCAGACACTCTTCAGTTTGTGAGCATTTATCCTGTCCTTTATTGTCAAAGCACAATACCCATCACATAGATAAGGCTTGCTTCCTTCTGGATATGTATGGGGGTGGGGAGGGTGGGATATGGCATACCAGCGGCTCCATGAGAGAGACAGCCTGTGTAGATTTTTTGGTATCATATAAACTTGGCAGTATCTATTGATGTTTATATTCACATATATTGTCAGTATTTATTGATATTTAATGAATAATCAGTAAGAGTATATTCTATATAAAAATGCTATTTTAAATAACTAAAGGACCCTTTTCAGGATCCCCATAGGAAAGAAAGTACAAAGTATTTTACATGTTAAAAAATTGTTTTAAATAAAATTAGAGCTGTAATTTAATTCTGCACCCAAGTGGTTTTCTTTGAAGGATTACTCTTGAGTTACTGTATCAGTCAGCTTTTATTAGGTTAGTCTGCATAACAGATGATCCCCAACTTTGCTTACAACCACAAAGATTTACTTATCCCGTAGGTTACATGTGGGCTGCAGTAGGTGCAGTTTGGTTTTAAGTTCTGCTCCATGTGCCCTTTATCACTCTAGAATCCAAGGTGAAAGCACCCCTGCTGGAGACATGTATTCTCATAACAGAGGGAAAAAAGGAGGAAAACTGGCCAAAAGGTGTAATAGTTCTTAAAGCTTTCAATCAGATGTGGCACGTGTCACAACAACTCATGCCCTTGGCCAGAGCAAGTCATTTAACAGAGCCCGATGTCAGTGGGGTGAGGATGAAAACTCTTCCCTCAGGAGAAACTGCAAGTCTTATGGCATTGAGCAGGGATGTGAAGTCCTTTGGAATTAAATTGTCTACAGGAAACTTTCATTTCTGATGTGGTTCTATAAACATGAGTAGAAAAATTTAGAAAGAGAGTAAAGAGCACGAAGAGCTACCTTATTACTTAACTTTTGCATGTAACAAGCCACGACCAAACTCAGTAGTTTACAATCACTGTTTATCAATGCACATGAGTCAGTAGGTCCTCCGGGCAGTTCTGCTAATCTGGGCCAGGCTCAGCTGATTTTGACTGGGCTTGCTCTGTGCTTCTGGGGTCAGCTAGAGGCCTGGCTGGAGCCTGAATGGTCTAAGATGGTGTAAGAGTTTTCTGTAGTTGCTGTAACCAGGTACCACAAACTGGGTGGCTTAAAAAGACAGAAATTCATTTTCTTCCAGTTCTGGAGGCCACAGGTCTGAAATCAACATGTTGGCAGGGCTGTCCTCCCTCCAAAGGCTCTCTGGGAGAATCCATCCCTTATGTCTCCCAGTGTTTGGTGGCTTCGGGCATTCCTTGGCTTGTGGCCCCATCACTTCAATCTTTAACTCTGTTGTCATATCACCTCCTCCTCTTCTCTGTATCTTTTCCTTTGAGTATCCATCTCAAAACTCCATGTTCCTCTACATAATATTTCATTTGATTTCACTAAGGGCCCACTGTGATAATCTAGGATAAGCCCCTTCTCTTGCGATCCTTAATTTAATCAATTCTTTTGCCATATGAAGTGATAGTCACAGGTTTCAGGGATTAGGATACAGACATATCTTTTAGGGGTTACCATCCAGCCCACTATAAATGGTGTCATTCATGCATCTGGTAATTGGTACCCATCTGTTCGCTGGGGATGACTGAGTCCTGTCACTGAGCAGGACATCCTGGGTTTGTTCCCTTGGCAGTGCCAGAGACCCAAGAGGGAAGGTAGGAATATGTAAGGCCTTTGGGGGCCATGGCTTGGAACTGGCACATTTCCTCATCTGCGACATTCTCTTAGCCAAAGCAAGTCACAAGACCACCTCAGAGTCAAGAGGTAGAAAAATAGACCCTGCCTCTTGATGGGGTGAGCTGCAAAGTCCTTAAGAAGAGCACCGGTAGAGGGACAGGTGGAGGATTTTGGCTATTTTTGTAATCTCCCACTTATTCTGTATTTATTTGAGTATGAGCTTGAAGATTTGTGATTAAGTGTCTGATGCTATGTTAGAAATTAAATTTTAGTCACTCTTGGTGCCCTTTTGATGATCATATTACCAGCCATTACTTTTCTAGTTTAATATTTATTATTTGATTATTCCAGTCAGAGAAGCCTCATGTATTTACATTTTACATGATTTACGTTTTATCTTCTTGTTTCTCTGCTTATGCATAACATCTGCAGACTGTTTGCCTCATGCCACTTAGTTCTCTGAAGTTTTTAGCTCCTGGTTCATTGTTAATCTCTCCAGTCCTGTTTCTATTACAATTATTGGCAATTTTTCTATCCATCTGTAGAGCTTTCCATTTCCCTGGCCTCTCACTTATTGGTCTTCTTTTCTTCCAATGTGCTTTTCATCTACCCACTTCAGTTACCCAGGGTCCTACCATAGGTCCTGTCATTAGCAATCACTGTGCACCTTCCAAGTCTCAGGTGAAAGCATCCACTCCTCCAACCATCCTGCCTCCTGTCTTTTCAGCTCATTCTCTTTAGGACTCAAAACGCCAATAATAACCCACCCCTCAGGATTTACCACCTACCCCCCTTTCTTGACTCATATCACCTTATCTTCTCACTCCTCTCATGCTGCTTAGATTAGTGATCCATGATTATAAATCTGTCCCTTGCATCTTCTACCCTCAACTCCTTTGCCCCCTCCCTCCACTGAATTCACCTAAAAAATTCCCATGTGTTGTTAAACCAGCTCTCCACCTATTCCATCACAGATGCTGAAGGCAACTTAGATGCCCACTGTACTTTCTGGTCTTGTTTTCAATTCATAACCGTTAAACTAAAGTGAGCCTTTAGTTGTGTGTTTATGAAACCTGGCTGCACAAAAGAATAACTGGGCTGGAGCATTTAAAATGACTGATGCTTTGCTCCCAGCCTCCCAAATTCTGATTTAATTGGCCTGGGCACTGGGATTTTTCACAGTTCCTCTGTTAACTCTAATGTATAGCAAGTTCAGAGACTATCACCCAACTCAACTGACCCTCCCATTTTCCTGGATGACTATCATTTCTTCTCTCTTGAAAACCCTAACACTACCTTCCCCTATTCTGACTCTTTAATGATAACCTTGCTTCTTATTCCACCGAGAAAATAGAAGCAATCCAAAGAGAACCTCTGCATGCTCCATGGAAGGAGACTGCATCTGTGCCCATTTCTTCCCCTTCCTCCTGTTACTGGGGTTAAGCTTGTCCGTACTCCTAACCATGCCATCATCTCCACTTATGCCCTAGATCACATCCCTTATGGCCTGTCAAGAACAGTCCTCCAGAAAACATCCCCTGTATCAGTCAGAGTTCTCAAAAAAAAAACAAAAACCCAAAAACAGAACCAGTAAGTTATGTGTCCATGTATGGAAAGAAATTTATTTTAAAGAATTGGTTTACTCAGTTTTTGGAGACTGGCAAGTCCAGAATCTACTGGGCTGACCAGCATGCTGGAGGCATGGGGAAGAGCTGATGCTGCAGCTCCAGTCTGAAGGCATCTGGAGGCAGAATTCCCTCTTCCTCTGGGAACTCAGTATTTTAAGACCTTCAACAGATTGGATGAGGCCCACCCACATTATGGAGGGTTCTCTGCTTCACTCAAAGTCTACAATTAAATGTTAATCACATTTTTTTTTCAAAATTGAAATATAGCTGATTTACAAAGTTGTGTTAGTTTCTGATTACAGCATAGTGATTCAGTTGTACATATATATATATATATTCTTTTTCATTATAGGCTATTACAAGGTATTGAATAGAGTTCCCTGTGCTATACAGTAGGACCTTGTTGTTTATTCTGTACATAGTAGTTTGTATCTGCTGATCCCAAACTTTCAATTTATCCCTTTCCCTCCTTTTCCCCTTTGGTAACTGTAAGTTTGTTTTCTATGTCTGTGAGTCTGTTTCTGTTTCATAAATAGGTTCATCTGTGTCATTTTTTTTAGATTCCACATATAAATGATATCATACGCTGTTTGTCTTTCTCTGTCTGACTTACTTCACTTAGTATGATGATGTCTATCTAGGTCCATCCACGTTGCTTCACATGGCATATTTCATTCTTTTTTATAGCTGAATAGTATTCCATTGTATATATGCCACATATTCTTTATCCATTCATCTGTTGATGGACATTTAGGTTGCTTCCATGTCTTGGCTGTCGTAAATAGTGCTACTGTGAACATTGGGGTGAATATATCTTTTTGAATTAGAATTTTCTCTGGATATATGCCTAGGGTGGGGTTGCTGGTCATACGGTAAGTCTATTTTTAGTTTTTTAAGGAATCACCATACTGTTCTCCATAGTGGTCACACCAAATTACATTCCTACCAACAGTGTAGCAGATTTTCCTCTTCTCCACACCCTCTCCAGCAAAATGTTAATCATTTTAAAAACCACCTTCAAAGCAAGATCTAGAGTGGCATTTGAAACTGGGTACCATGGTCTAGCCAAGTTGACACATAAAATTAACCATCACATCCCTTCTCTCCTGTGTTATCTTTACTTATTTGAAGATGAACTTCATTTTTTCCCTGTCTAGATCATTATTATCAGAATATAAACATTCTGTACCACCTCTCATTGTTAATAAAAGAAGCCTCCTTTGTCCCTTCCCGGTATCTAACCAGTTTCCTCCTCATTTTGTGTCTCTCTTCTACAGCAAGAAACCTCCAGAAGACTTGCCTTTACCCACTGTCTTCGGTTCATTTCCTCCTATTCCCTCCTGAACCTGCTCCAGTTTAGATCTCAGCCCCACCCATACTGTGCTTGTCCAGGTCTCTGGTGACCTCCCACTTCCAAATCTAATGGTAAATTCTCAGATCTCTTCTGTCCTGTCCTGTCAGCAAGAGATATGACACACATCTGTTCATTCCATCCTCCTTGAAACACCTTTTCAGTGGGATTACAGTGTCCCCAACACATACACAGTGTGCACTCA